CTTGAGCTCTGCCCTAGGCTTGGGCTTCCTAGCCCAGCCCTTAACAGGTAAGTTCTTTTAGGGTATGCAGCGAAGGGGGTAATGTCACTGACAGCCGTCAAGACGTTCTTGGGGCAACTCCCATGACTATGGTAGAGTTGGTACTTAGTGCTCGCCATGGTTTCTGGCATGCACTCCCCTCAGCATGGTGGCGTGGGTATACCGTTCCCCATAGCAACCCCTAGAGGACTCGGTTCGAAGTTCCCTTGAAAGGGAACGTCTCAGGTTATGTATGTAACCATGGTTCCCTGAGTAGGGAACGAGACACTGCATCCTCTAGGTGTCGCACCGGTAGTGACGTCATGGCTGTCGCCGGCCAACGTGTTGTTGGTGTTTTTTCAATGTATGCTTCAGACACGGGTCATGACGAGGCATCCCCCATAGTGACCCCTAGAGGACGCAGTGTCTCGTTCTCTACACAGGGAACCATGGTTACATATGTAACCTGAGACATTCCTGCAAGCTATTCTGAATCACTGAAACAAACTCCAAAAAGCAAACATTTTCCTCAAATTGTCACACCTGTTCGTTCTTCAAATTTGCTTTTAGTATTCTTATTATTGAAGTTCATACATTTATTTATTTGCTAAATCTCTGTAAGAATAGTTGACTTGTGTGGCAGCAATTGCATGCTGAAGAAAGTGAGCAAGATAATTGAAGTTGTGAAATCTGAGAGATGTTCAGACCATGTTGTGTTCTTCACTGGAGTTTGGTTCGATGTGGGACTTTGCATTTCCACAGTATTTCCCCATGTATCTATGCAAGAAGTGATTAGGTGTTATTTGTTTGGTTCTGATTCTATGGTTACTTGTATCCAGCACTCAGTTTCTTTGTAAATAGAGCAAACTCTAATAAACACAAAAGAGCTTTTATCACAACATGGTCATGTTAGGCTTATCTCAGGTGGAGAAAGTGGCCAATCAGCACTACTACACAAAACTGTGTAACATATATTACAATAAATACAACTAGTGAGTAGGTTTCCTGTGCTACTGCTCCCGTGAGGATGCTGAAAACAGACCCATGTTCTTCACTATGGGTCAAACCTGTGCTGATAGAAAATGCTGGGTAAATGTTCATGTTACCGTAAGTGGAGCATCTCACAAGAGAGATTTCCATAAGGTTTTTATAGAATTTCTGCAACTGATGTAATCAAGTGTTATTCTCAAATCTTATTTGAGAATATCAGTAAACAATGAACTGATAGAAGTTAGAAGATAGAAGTCTTAAAAAAGAGAAAGACAAGTAACTTGACAGGTTAATGACAGACTAATATTGTAATATTAGTGCAGTGTTCTACATTGTAATTGATTTATTTTGCTTAGTGGAAGCTTTAAAGGTAATTATCTCATCGATATTTTATGTTCATGCTTTAATTTAAAAATCTAAAAGAAAAGCTTGTATCACAAATTATTCACTGTACAAAAACACCGCAGTTAACTATTGTTTTTACCAATAGATGCAACAAATGTGTGCAACAAACATGCATAATCTTAACTAACAAAGTACTATGGTATATTTGTTAATATCACTGGTACTTTGAAATAGTCCATGTTATTAATGTACCATGGATTAATGTACTATGGTATTTGGTATATGGTAAGTACTTCAAAGAATACCATGGTACATGACACAAAAAAACACGGTAGTACTACAGTACTTTGTTAGTGTTGGTATTGCACATTGAGAGAGATCCCATATGAACAGTTTTTTACAGTATTGAAGTGTTACAGTACTAACTATCTTTAGGAACTTTTATTTTGGCTTTAAAGACAAACACATTTTTCATACAGTACATTTTTGGATTATGCATTTAAAATCCAACCAACTTTAAAGGAGCATGACACTTAAAATGTTTTTTGTTGTTGTTGATGCAAATTTGCTTCCTTCATCCATGCATGTATAATAAAATGGTCAGAAAATAGTTTTACAAACAAAATAACATTTATTTCCAGTATGCAGAGGGTACAGGGAACAGTGTTTAGTGTCGTTCATCAACACCAGCAGCTGACGTTTCCTAAAGACGATTGACCACAGTCATCCCAGACGACGGCAGCTCCTGATCCAGCAGGCGGAAGAGCATGGCACATTTGTTGCGTTGAGAGATGTTGCCGAGACTGTGATGCAAGCGTGCCTGTAGGTAGTGTATGTCTCTCATACGCTCTTTACAGTCAAGCTGAGAGAAATACACAGCTGCCTCATCCAAAGTGTGCACGGCTAATTCCACAGCTGCAGGAAAGAAAAAACATCACATAAACATGAATTATGATGTGAATACAGAGAGATGGGTGACAAACATGACTCAGGCAGTACCAGTCAGTCTGTGTTCCTGTGCAGCAGCTCCTGCTAAAGCCATGTGACAGCGAGCGGCCAGCAGCAGAGCTCTGCCCTTGTCTATCAGAGACCCGTGAGCCAAAACCGACTCCAACACGTCCTGCACCAGCACAAGAGCCTGCTCAGGGATCCCCAACATCAGCTGTGAAGAGAGATGATCAATATCAGACACTCCTAGTGGACAATTACACTATTTTTTTCATCTTCCTAGAAACAACAAACACAGGTGTAGTTAAAAATCAAGGATCTGGGAGACGTTTTGTTTTGTGTTGTGAGCATTTGCATTATCAGGAGTCTCATGTGCTGGTGTATGTGGGTGTACCTGTGTAAATGCCAGGTGTAACAGCGTCTCTGAGGTCAAGCTCTGCAGGTTGTGTTGGCGTGACAGAGCAAGAGCCTGTAAGAGTAATGGCACAGCTGTCGCAAAACCAGTCGCAGAGTCCCAGTGAAGTTCTGCAGAGGCCAGCATCATCCTGCACACAACACACTGAAGAGTTCAATCCAGACTAGAATAAGTGCATGTTCAACAAGATTTTATATATATATCAGCAAATTTTTAAATGACAGATTTTTTGTTGTAATTATAACTATGGCCAGCAATAACTGGAGTGAAAAGTCATATCTAATATGATCCCAGAGCTTTCATAAACACACACCTGATAATCATCTCTGTGTTCTTGCTCTTCTCACACCGCTGCTGCAGCTGCTTAAGAATCTTAGAGGCTTTAGTCGTTTGATTCAGAGCTTTCAGCAACTGCGCTTTCCTGAACAGACAAACACATTAGCAATCACTTGTACATGTTAGCCTACTAAAAGAGTATTCATTTACTTATTTTAGTCATTTATTAGATGCTTTTATCCAAAGCGACTTACAAATGAGGACATAGTAATAATATAATAGTATAAATCGGCAGTTATCTACCTGTACAATCCCTCAGTGCTGTTTAAGGCAGAGATAGCTGTGACATGGGGGTCAGCCAAGTGGTATTTCCCATCATTCATAGCCTTCTCAAACTGAATCTTCAGATCACACAGCATCCAGAGCTGTTAAAAAGAGAGAGAGAGAGCGAGAGAAACATATACTTACTTGGAGCTGCTGCTGCTGATCTGTGCTTGATCATGCCTGTATTTTGTTTGACAGGCTTACTTTGGCATGTTGGGTATGAGGAGGAAACTGCTGCTTTAAGTGTTTCATGATGTCACTCACAACAGCATAAAGGCCCTGAGAATGGAAAAAAAAAAACAGACTGGAAAACATCTAGCATTCAACACACAATACATGAAATCAAGTTATGCACCAAGAAGCATTTGCATTAGGGCTGGGCGACATGGCCAAAATATTATCACGATAATGTTTTTTCATATCAGTCGATATCGATAATTATCACGATACATGTCAGATTTTAAAGTTTAAAGGCAGATTTTTGCTCTAATGTGAAAGTTGTAAAAACCAGACAGTTAATTGTGGTTTTAAACTATTCTTTATGGTCAGAACACGACAAACACTTCACGTTTTTGAATTCTTTACACTTTTCCAGTCATTTTTCCTTAACAAAATAAATATCTTAATAGAAAAAAATAATTTCTTAGTTATGCACGTTCTAATGAGTAATATTGTTTAAAATCAAGAAACAGGTTTGTGTTGCCTGATAATATTAATGATAATATAAAAATGTTTGTGTCTTAGAAATACACATTTAATAGTAGCTTAAGTTAGATGCAGATGTAGATTTATGTTCATTACCAAAATCGGTAATATCTGTAAGTATTGTAGCAACCTCATTTATATATGGTGAAATGTAATTATTCTGGTTGTTTGAGTTTTTTTTTTTTTAATTAACCACTGGTCTTCCATAGTAGCATACATTTAGATCACGACTATCACAGTTAAAACCACAAATATAGCACCTCAGTACCATGGTAAAAATGTAATATGGTTTTTAGGTATTTGTATGAAAAACAGTAGCTAGAATTTTTTAGAAAAAAAAAACAGCACAAATAAATTAATGTTCACCTTGTATTTGTATTTAGCCTTCATACAAACAAGAAATGTGAAATCACTGTCAAATAAACATCTCAGACTCACTTTATTAATTATTAATATCTTTAACTTCAAACTATAACATACACTACCAGTCAAAAGTTTTTGAACAGTAAGATTTTTAATGTTTTTAAAGAAGTCTCTTCTGCTCACCAAG